CGGAGGTCGGAGTGGACAGGACAACGGACGACATAGGGAAGAAGTGGGACAACGTCTTCCAGCAGTACAAGAAGGTGCAGCGTTACCAGAACATGTCCGGCGGGAAGAACTTCTTCACATTAACTCCTGCAACGAGAGCGGACAAGGGTTTCAACTTCCGAATGGATGAGCGAGTCTTCAATGAGATCGACAACATGTCGAAAAATAACAAGACCATCTACCCGGACAACTTGGCAGACACGAGCGCACACGGAGGAGTGCCGCCAGCAATGGATGGTCACCGCCAGGCGGCCGTTGGTGGAGAGTCCTCTGCTGGTGGAGAGGGGGGTGATGGCGTTGACGAAGATGTGGGTTCAGCGCGGGAGACTGGGTTCAGTGCAGGGAGCACGGGGACTCCAGCGAAGAGGAAGAACATGCGGCAGCAGACCTTCGATGCCATCGCCGAAGTCATGGACAAACACGGTTCATTGATGGCGGACACGGTAGAGGGTGCGAGCAAACGGCAGTGTAGCATCCTGGAGCGGCAGTGTAGCATCCTGGAGCGGCAGTGTGACATCCTCGACCGGGAGGTTGAAGCCCAGAAGCGCCAGTGTGACATACTGGAGAGGCATTACACGGCGTCCGATGAGGCGAACAAGATGATGTGCACGGCGTTGATGGAGATTGCCAGAGCGATAAGGGATAGATCTTGACGCCGGTGGCGTGAGGTTTGTCAAGCCGTTGAAGTGGATTCGCCCGCGATCTGGCCTGTCGCGAAATGTGGTGCCGGTCCTCCAAACGACAACATAAATCTAGGAAACAAGGCGGGGGATGGTGTGCGCGATGGCCGTGTACCCTCACGCGCTTCGAAATGTTGAGTCGCTGGCTCTCCAGGGCAGGGCCGTCCATTCCTCGGACCGCATTGTCCCTGGGTATTTGGGGTGGTCTCCCCCAATGCGGAATGGGTGATCGTCGCTGTTGCCGCGTGGAGGGGTGTGCTGGAGGCCGTCCGGGCGGGATCTGCGCACCGAGGGAGGGGAAATGTCACCGCGAGCACTATAAAGGTCCGCGAGAGCGCTATCTTCTCACAGTTTTTTGCTTGTCGACTGTGCGCAAGGCCACGCGTGGGGTTCCCGTTGTGCTGCGCGGGGAACTGAACATCGCCCGCGCAAGACGATCCTTGGCGACTTCCTCTCGTGCGCTGCGGTAGTCCGTTTTCGTTCACTGGGCGTGCGCATCCGACCGTCAGCGAATGGCGCCACGTGGCCAGCAGAAGGCGAAACATCCACACGGTGGTTCCGGCGAAGCGAGTGCAGGGCAAACAGGAAGGGGCCACATCCCAAAGTCGAAGAAGCTCCGCGCGGGAGACGGGTCGAAAGGAGAGATGGGGGGTGACGAGGGAGAGGAGGAGACGCCTATGGACATCACTTCTAAAGAGACGCCTGTGCTCGGCTTCGGGCGTGACGGTATGAGCAGGCAGCGTATGCTTGCGCTCACCAACCTTGGCGTCCCGACGTCCACGCGCGGCGGCGATGGCGGGACGGCTCGTGCGCAAGAAGTTTCGTCCAGTGACATTCCGCCTCAGAGGGCCGTGGGTTCTGCATCCACCATCGCATCCGTGTTCGAGCACGACGAAAAAGCTCCGGTAGGTGAGTCTCCATCGAGCCACGTGGAGGCGTCGAACCCGACGATCGTCGCCGCTTCGCCAAAGGATGTGCTTCAATTCGCGCATGCAGCGAGTGCCGCTGGTCATGCCGCCGCCGTCGGTGTTGGAGAAAGGCGAGAAGATAGGAGGGTGGAAGAGGCGGGGAGAAAACAGGAGAGGAGGGAGGAGACTCCGCGCAGGGAAGAAGAGGACGACCAGCCTCTGAGCGCGAGGAAGAAAAGGTCCCGCCAAGAGGAGGAGTTGGAGGCGAAATCGAAGCTGTGGGTAGACGGCAAAGCGTTCTGGTCAACCGGCCCCGGACGGATGATCGCGGACACGGTGCATTCCTGCGCGGACTACTTCTGCGTGATCGTCAATGGAGATGTAGGCGCCAGCGCTCCGCAAGGCCTCATGATGCCGCCCCCTGAAGTCCCGCGCGTGCGGATCGAMGATGGCGCGCAACGAGAGCCAGCTCTCAGACGGGCGAGACGAACGGAGAACGTGGCAATGCGCGTCATCCACGGGTGGATATTCAGGTCGTCTTCAAGGTTAGATGGTTTCGCCCGCGCGGAGTCCTACGTCGCCACAGATTACCCCATCGACTTGGCGAGAGCAGTTTGGCAGAGCTTCGAGTGGTCGAGGATAGTGCCTCCCGCCGTAGTTTACCACACAGTAGCTTTGAAGATGGACATCCCAGTGTGGTTCGCCGGGGCATATATCGAGAATAGGCCGGAGGACGATGACATGGCTGCGCACCAGGAGGCGACTGTGATGCATATTGCATCATGCTTCCACGACACGCTCCGGGCCGGGCAGTGGTGGGATGGCGGTAGATTGTCACACCAGAGAGTGAGCAGAATCGGGGATGCTTTCCGCCTGCTTCTCGCCGCGTGCATGTGGATCATGCGCATGGGAGGCAACGATGCGCGCTCCTACGACAAGGCGTCTTACTACGCGCAGCTGGTGGCGAAGCCGACTCTCGTGGCGACGTGTTCATCTTCAACTGGCGCCGCCATGTGATGCACTCGGCGAACGTGGTCTTGACTCGCCTGCGGAAGCCACCCTTGACGCTGGGCGCTTTCCCTGACTACATCCCGGAGTGGGCTTCGTGCGGAGTGCGGTACAATTGCAACGCTGGTCTGGAAGACCCCGACGTCGCGGCGAGAGTGGACTGGATGGGGAAGGGAAGGGGGGGTGCGGGGTGGGGGCACATGGATGTTCGGAGTCGGGGGATGACGACGACGACCGCAGATGGTTTGCATGCATTGACGCGTTTCGCCACGAGAGGGCCCCTTCGTAGATTGTGTTCCTGTTTCGCCCCGCTGCACGCGCGCAGTGCCTCGTCTCCCAAAGGTGCTTGGTAGCTGTTAACCGATCTCCGACAGAGGTCGGCTTTGTAGGGTATTTGAAGGTGCATTGTGAAGTCAGTGCGATGGTTGGTCTGCGCCAAGAATGACGAGCGACGCCTTTTATTGTTCTTTGTTGAAAACGACAATCCGATGTCGATAGGGTTTAGCGAGTGTGTTCATTGGACGGAGTCTAGCAATGGAGCGGTGTGTCCCATTGGAATGTGATGAAGTGTTTCCTCAAATCTCTCTTTTTCATGAGTGGTGTGAATGTCGTTTTCTTCGTGGTGATTGCTTTTTTGTTTGGAACGGTCGTTGTTTGCCACTGCGATGGCAATGATGATCATGTGCGAGTGTGTTAATTCGACCTACCCCAACAAATGAACGGTGTGTCCCGTTGGAATATATGACGATGCGTTCCCTCAAATCTCACTTTCTCCTGTTTGGTGTGAATGTCCTTTCCTTCGTGCTGATTGGGGGATTGTTTGGAACGGTCGTCGGTTTCCAATGGGATGATACGCACCTCAGGACGGACAGCTTTGCCGGCAAGCCGATGAACTGATCCAATGATCGGTTGATCGGTTGCCCGCCAGACTCGGCCAAGCTAGGGTGTGATGCTCCGCGAGGTCGGGCATTCCTGGTGGACTGGGTTTCAGATTGTTAATGAAAGCGCACTGTGAACTGCAAAAAAAAAAAAAAACGCATTCACGCTGTCGTCCTGAGGAGACAACAGATCAATGGAAGGCGCACACATCGCCCCTAACAAACAAACCGCAACACGGAGACTTAAAAAAAAAAAAAACGACAAAGACAATGAAACGAATAAAAATGAAATAGGAAAAAAAGACATTTCGATTGCAATCACATACACGAAATCACAGCATCTTCACACAACACCGATAGACGCACACACGCAGCCGGAACTCCACTCCAAAGTACACATTTGAAAAAAGGAGAACAAAAACGAGTCACCTCCGGACTGATTACCCCCGCCGACAGACACCGTCTTCTTCGAAAACGAAATCGCGCAGCTGCGCACACTCACTCACAACAAACCGCATCACCGATCGCCAAAAACCTACTACAAAATGTTTAACAAAAAAAAAAAAAAGGAAAAGAGCTGCGGATCAATAGCGTCTTTGACGACAGCTCCGCGACACTAGCGATCAATGACAACCCGCACTGAACGTACACAGTTCACCCCAGGGCACGGCACACGCCTGCAACAGCTAAATAACACAGAATGCCTCCGTTGGACACAACACAGAACGACCTCCACAAGGATGGCAGAGCCACGTGCCGTCGACGTGGTGCGCGCCTTCACGCGTGTTTCATCCTCTCCGCCAACGCCTCGCGTAGCGCCAACGCATGGGGCCGATTGAAGTTCTTAGCAATGGGGTGGGGTGGATGATCCAACCCCAAGTCCACTCGCCGCCGCACGCCATTAGCATCGACCTCCCACAGCAAGTTGTCGTCGAACTCCATGCCAGCGTCAAGGAGGATGTTGTGCAGAATGCACACGGCCTGGAACTGTTGTGGGAGAGTGTCCATATTCGTCTTGTGTGTGCGGAGGAACAGCCTCCACATCCCTTTCAATCTCCCGAACGCTCTCTCCACTGCTCCCCTGGCGACCTTTTGCTTGTTGTCGAACCTCTCCTCGTCGGGGATTTGATCGGTCCCCCCGTACGGCACGACAATCCACTCCAGCGGTGGATACCCGTTGTCGCCCAGAAYGTAACYGTGTGTCGTCACTCCGAACGGCAGCACAACAGGAGCTCCAYGGAAAAGATCCCCCTCCTCCGCACGCGCCCACAGACTSGAGAGCTGAAGCACCCGAATGTCATGGCARCTCCCTGGGTAACCGACGAAAACGTCCGYGATGCGCAAGTCCAGGTCCACCACCACCTGCGCTACAACGGAGAAACGATGCTTCCGGTCGAAGTAGTTCTCCAAAGGAGCATTCGCCGGTTTGTCGACGTAAACGTGCGTGCAGTCTATGCAGCCATAGCAGTTGGGAAAGCCCTTCGCCTCGAAGGCACGCAGAACGAGCGTACGAYGYATCCCAGTAGGCCATACGATCTTGTCAYTATACACCCTCAGGAGCGCCCTCGTAACGTCCTCCACTGCGATCAACCCGGATGCGCGCCCTATTCCGAATGACGACGTGCTGCTCTCGTACGTCTCACCGCTCGCCCATCGGTACAACGCATATG